TATGAATGTTTTTTAATCTCCATTCGTCGTTATAATAATATACTCGCCGTCTTCATCAAATTGCATTGCACACCTAATAAATGAGTTGAGTAGGAGAAAAAAATAACACTCAGAAATATTAAATTATTGTATTATTTTACAACATTGAACAAATGTATAATAAATAATAATATAGTATTACATTCTACTCGGACATGGAGTTGACCCATTATTAATTATTAGTTTGTTATTTGGGGTTGGGTGTGACACTGTGACATTATTTTTTCTTTTCAAATTTCTAAATGACAACCATGTGCCGGTACAGTGTTGACTGTTGGCTCCAGATTCATCCAGACTCCAGACTCCCCGTGACGAAAAATCGTACTCTAACAGACGCTCTCCAACGATGTCACGCGAAATGGCTAAGTTATTGTCAGTTTTATTATCACTGTATTGCTATGCGCCTGGCCAATGATTACAGTGACGTATTTATGGGGGGGAAATGGGGGATAGATCCCCTCCCTTACCAATTTTTTTTCCATGTATAAAGTACAAACTGCTGCAGTACTGTTGTTATTTATAATTTTGTTATCCTGTGGGCATGTGAGTGACATTACACAACATTTATTATTATTATATACCTTACATGGAGTAACTAACAAAAAGTTGCAACAGCACTAAACAAATTTTGATATCCCCCTCCTCAAGAAAATCCTATATACGCCCCTGAATGGTTACAAAATAACATCGAAGTATAATATTTTGTTATAATGAATTCAGTGGAGGCTCGGTCTACGGTGGTGTTACACCAGTACACCACTGGTATGGTGTACAGGATCAAGTGAACTACCTACAAAATTGCATAACAATTATTAGATATTTTCTATATTAAATTATTATTGGTTATTATCCACATGGTCCGTAATAAAATTATTTAAAAATTGTCTATTAAAAAAGTTTGCGGCATTACGTGTAGACGAGTGTGTTCACGGGCGGCCTTACAAATATTAGTTGCATGCATCGACACGTCGACGTCGGCGACCAGTTATTATTGGTTATTAATTTATTATCCACATGGTCTTTTGGAACAAAATTTATTATTAGGTGTACACCGGACCTATTTTTATTTTGGGTGTGTTGTCCGGTCGATTGTCGAAACGATAAAACTACTTGACACCATGCATTGGACTTAAACTGTCGTTTTCCTAATATAAAAAACAGAATAAATTATTGAACTTAAGAGGACGCCACACCGAAAGCGAAACGTATACAACGACCGAGAGAACGCGCTGTTAGGTGTTTTCGCGATCCGCAAGCACGCGACGCTTTAGCCGCGCCCACTACTCACAGTCGGCGGCTGGCCGACAATTTTGCTCATTCGGGAGCCTGCGAATGAGCGATGTTTATTATTTTATCAACCTTCGTCTGTGGCGGATCATATAAATATAAAATGCATACACGTATATTATACCGCATTACCGCCGTAATATTGTTAATATTCGAGCGTACCTTTAATAATTATTGCATTATTAAATACTTACTTCGTAAAGAATGTATTCAATACAGTAAATAATATTATCTAATATATAACTGTAACCTAAACTAGTATATATTACCTAAATATCTAAATATTATATTTTAGTAGGTTAATTTTATTTTTAGAGGTTACAAAGAATGATATCAAACGTTCAAACAAATAAATTAGATGTTTTTATAATTACACCAGATCAGTTGTTGTCAGAAATAAAACAAATAGAAAATATTCTACCTGAAGAGCTTCTTAAAATTAAACTAAAATAAATACAATATTTTGTGTAAAATAATGTTTACCTTTGACTATAAGTTATAACTTATAACTAATTTAATAATATAAGTTATAACAAAATTTAATTTTCTACATACAAAAATACAAAATTATTTTAAAAATCGTCCTCTGTATCACGAGTTTTGATGTATTTACGATTGATGAGGTATATTATTTTATCGCTTAGTCGGATCATAAATAATATTGCTTAATGACACATGGTTCGGGGTTAATTGGTTAATATAGTTATTATTTATGTAATCGTGGTCTCATTATTTCGTTATCTGCTCGGATACCTATGTTAATCAGTCGACAATTACTTCCAATTATAATAAATAGGTATCATTTTATTTTAAGTTCGGTTGTATTTATATTTGCATATATATTTAGTATTTACTGAACTGAAATAAATAATAATTTATGATAATGTAAAATTATTGTTTTTTGTGCTTCGAAGAAAAATATTATATTATTCGTTAACAAAATCATTGGTTATAATCATGGATACAATAGTTCACTAATAAATAATAATATTAAATTAAACACATAATATAAAAAAGTGAAAACACAATAATTATTATACGTTCGATTCCCATTCAATCTTGTTCTATTCGATTTCCAATGTACACCATTATACATTTTAATAAAACAGATATAATACGATCGTATGATGATTATCATGATTATTATATTTTGTTATTTACAGATTTTTCCCAGTCTATACATTGTAACATTAATACATTATTGTAACCATTGGTATCATATTTTATCATAGGTATACGCAGGTTCAAAATATTTTACTACCTATCGAAGAAAAATAAGTGTACACAGTTGGAATACGTGATAATGATAAACATACACTACAGTGTATTTTTTTCAAAAATAATAATTGATGAATTTACCAACCAAATCAGCCTGTTTACACGTTCAAAGTTCAAACTCGCACAGTTAAACCTTCAACAACCCTTTCTATATGGCCTAGAACTACATGCTAGGATGCATACTATTCACTAGAAATTGTTATAGTTTATATTTATAATTAGTAATTAGTAATGTAATTACTAATTACTAATTAAATACAAAACGTTATCAGAAGTAAATATAGGTATTTAATAACCTTATATTATTTTAAATATTATACATAGTATCAAAATATACTTTATGTCTTTATTTTTTAATAATAAAACAAGAAACAGTTTTTAATCTGAACCTTAAAATACTGAATAAGGCTAAAAACGGCCAAAATCGTAGGCAAGTCTTATATTAAAACTAAGTCGAGTTTCCACGGCTCGTGTACGAATATCGCCTATTCGTTGATACTCGTTATCTGGGTAGCAGCGTGTATACAAATATTCCGTTATTTGGTATTCGTTATTCGCCATCTTCCCACGGATTGACGGTTAAATTAAGTGACACGAGTCAAAGAAAAATAATATTAAATTAATATAGAATCAAAGCTATATTATAATATTATATTCGTAAACTGCACGAATAGTGTCAATGGTCTACTTCACAGTAGAGTCTTTAGTCTTTACTATTCGTCTAATTTGGCGATTATTAGTTTAAAAATTAGAGTGAATTGCTCTCTTATAAAATCTAAAGGTAAGATTATTGTCTAGACAACCTCATCGGCTTTTTATTATAATTGTATTTCAAAGCGAGTTATGAGTATTTGAATTGTAAATCGTATTGCGTGGTAAACTTTGTAGGCGCGGCGAGCGGTGCATCTCTTCCCGGCAATAATATTGTCGGTCTCTGCATTATGCGCCAAAGGAAAATTGGCGCATCTTAACCAATCTAACGGCATGTCCGGTTTTAAGACAGATAATATAATTTAAATGTTTAATTATTAAATTGAATGAATGGATTTATTTATTTTTTTAATGATCATAAGATACCTACAACAATAATAATTGTAATTAAACAAAAACAAATTATAGATTAAACGAGAAATACGATTCTATACGGATCACTGAATAGTGAATAGTATTAGTTAACTATTATTGATTATTATTTTTTTCGTACTTATTGCACGAGAGGCAAAAGAATACAAAATGTACAACAAAAAAATTCTAATAATTTAAGGCCATGGCTGCAGAGCATAAATAATAATAATAATATTATCAAACGCGCTTGAAAAGGTGGTATAGTGGACAGGCGCCGCGCCGTCTGATTCGTGTTGCGCGGTTCTGCGTGGTGCTGCCACCCACCGTGTAATCCCGGCTTTACTGGCGTTTCGTTTGCATCGAACTGCGATAAAAATAATATCGACTGCAGTGACCACAGACTTCTACACTATATAGAAATCTGTGGCAGTGACTAAATAATTCGCTACTGTCACTGCAATACCACGTAAATAACATTTCACAAATTGTTCAGGAGAGACATAAAACTAATTAATTAGTGTGCAAGAAATAATTTTACAATTTTTTTTTCTTATATTGATATTAGGAGCTTATTATAGTTTAAAAACAATGAAAATTATATTTTGTAATATCATTTAATTTAATTAATAGTACTTACGTGGTTTTTCAGCAATATAATGAAGATACGAGGTATTGAAGGATTGCGATACGTGTTGTTTAAATACAAATGTTGTAGATACGTGTAATTTATATTTATTTAATTTAATATAATACTTTATTTAATAATATTATTATAATATTAATTAATACGTTTTTAAAATATATCAAAACTGTATTAAAGCAAGCACATACTCAGCATCAATTTTTTTTGGAGAGGGGGGGGGGGGGTGAACCCCTAAAATCCCCCTGGATACCGGCTTGTATTATAGTATCAAATAATAACCAGCTAATACATTTTAAATTTTGAAATAAATGAACAATCTGTTTTATTTCACAAATCAATAAAAAATTAAACAATAAAATATATTAATTAAAATCAAAAACTTTAACTAGGTGTGTAGTATAAATAATAATAATATAAGAAATACAACAGTTAACTAAAATAAAAATATCTTGTTAAAACATAATAATTATAAAAAAAAAAAAAAAAACATAATATCTGAGTTTTACCACATTATAAATTGTTATAATTCCTTATTTAATATCTTAATTAATACTGAACACCAATAAAACTGCATTATAGTATAAATATTAATATACAAAATATAACAATTCACTAAAATAAAATAATAAAAATATCTTGTTAAAACATAATAATAATAATTATAACAAAAAAAGAAAAAACATAATAACTAAATTTTATCACATTTTCTTTCTTTATAAGTCTTTAAGTGAGGTATATTGTCATAATAATCGTGGACATCAGTTGGCAGAACAGTTTTTAATTTTTGGAGATCATTCCACTTGGAAAGAGTAATAGGAATTCTGCTATTATACAAACAAGGTGTGTTGATGGACAGATCTATAGTTTTTTTTGTTCGATGGTACTGGGGTAATTCTGTATATTCATGTTCAAAATTTATTTTGTAATATATTTTTTTGGTTGTGGGATCATATTTAAGAGCTCTTATATTTCGAACTTCAGGGTCACCCTTTGATCGCCCAGGTCGTATAGACTTATAATAATTCAATTTTTTGTAGTCATAGAAATCTGAATAGTTAACAGAGTGGGATTCATAGGGTGATGGATTTTTCCTTGCTAGTTTTGTTAGTTTCATGTAGTCAGATGGCAAATAGATTTCTTTGTTTTTTATTGTACGTTCGATTGAACTATGTACACTGTCGCATGGCATTTGTGTATGTCCTTTGACAAGGAACTTTTGTTCTATAATAACATTATTTTCTATAGAAAATTTAAGTAACGCATTGGACAATACCGTGTTGCGGTTTTGATACCCACAACCGTCCGAGTATATAATAATGTCTTTTTTTTTATTTTGAGTCTCATCTATGCATTGTTGTTTAATATGATTCAATATAATTGATGTAAATACCGATGCTTCGAGTTCCCCTTGACTTTCATCCCACCAATAATTAGAACAAGGGTGGTTAGGTTCTAAATTATAGACTGTAAAATTGTGTACTTTAAGTTTCATGCTGTAATATAAGGCACTAGCATTCAGCGCAGGGCATAGTTTCACAGCTTGTAAATCCATTGTCAAGACTATTTTTTTGAAAGCAACTGCATCAAGCGTATCAACTTTAAGCTCTTCTCGGGCTTGATTTTTTTGAGCAATATGTAGCTGATAGTTTTCTTCATTTACTTGTTTGACTTTATAACTTGAGCAGGTATCACATAAATCTTTTCTAGGTTGGTATATGGAAAATTTTTTTTGTGTCATAAATCTGGAGAAAAAACTTCTACTTAATGGTTTCATATTCTCTTCTTTACATTTCAACAAATATACATCATAAACTTCTTGTTTGCTATTAAACGGACCCTCAAGGTATAGTCTCTCAGACCTCTTTCGACAATAATGACTGGGCATTTTCGGCAAAGACCCAAACCAAGATATGAGATGATTATGTCGTACAGACACTGATACTCGTGGTATAGGTTCTTCAATTTCCTCTTCATTATCAAATTCCAAATTTAGATTGTTTTGTAAATTATTATTCTTTATATTCTTTGTTGATTGAGGTAATCCATTAATTGAAGAGTTTATCCAATTCCTCACCATCCATTCATTCAAACAGAGCGTATTCAAAAACATTTTTTTACAGACCGGTAATGATATGTCTTCTTTTTTTAAGTGATAAGTGTAGGAATAATCTCTTCGACTTTTTTCACTTTCGGTCATTATACGTTTTGTTTCTGTCTTGGTAATCATATTTACACAAAAAGTTTTCTTTTCTGCCCAGGATGTACAATTATTCCAAAAATGGTTAAACAGTTCACTTCTCTCAGATTCAGAAAAATTGTCGCAGTATCTGTTTTTTGATTTATTGCAAAATGTTGAAGCACATGTTGGTTTCATTTTCCTTTCATCCTTATTTACATCTTGAGATACTTTCTTGCCTTGCCTCTGAAACCCTATGTATGCCTTTCCTAGCAATCTATTTTGTTGCATAACTTCCCTATTCCAATTTTTTTTTTGTGATATTATACCCCTTTTACGCACTCTTTTGTCAGTGATTGAATCTGAAGTTTCAATTTCAATTTCTTTTGAATAGTCATGATCATAATTAATAAATTCACCATTATCAGTTTCAAAATTAGTTATACAGTCAGTCTTGTCATAAATACTGTCATCAACTTGATTTTCAGTGGTTGGTGAAGTATTATTAGGAACATTTAAATTATTTTCATTAGAAATATTACCTGGTACATCAATGGAAGTTACAACTTCTACATCTTCATAAGTTAATTCAATATTATATTTTAAGCAATCTTCATAATTATTAAATTCAGAATTATCAGTTTCAAAATTAATTATACAGTCAGTCTTGTTATAAATACTGTCATCAACTTGATTTTCAGTAGTTGGTGCAGTATTATTAGGAACATTTAAATTATTTTCATTAGAAATATTACCTGGTACATCAATGGAAGTTACAACTTCTACATCTTCATAAGTTAATTCAATATTATCCTTTAAGCAATCTTCATAATTATTAAATTCAGAATTATCAGTTTCAAAATTAATTATACAGTCAGTCTTGTTATAAATACTGTCATCAACTTGATTTTCAGTAGTTGGTGCAGTATTATTAGGAACATTAATTAAATTATTTTCATTATAAATATTATCTGGTTCATTTATAGAAGTTACAACATTCTCATAAATGAATTCAATATCATTTAAGGAATCTTCTGTTAAAACTTCATATTTTGTTTTTGAAATAGATGAATTGGCTATTAAATTAGTTTCATATTTTGGTTTCCTATTAGAGAAATTGGTAATATTTGTCTTACTTTTTTTTTTATATGTAATGTTGTTCATATCGTCATCTTTACTACTAGCTTCTTTAGCAAGCTCCAATAGATGTTTAATTCTTCTTTTTGATGTCATGATGTATAATGCTAAAAAAACATAAATAATAATAATCATACAGTGTACCTAATTATTATAACTATCATAATAAAACTGTAATTTTATTTGAGTAGATAATAACATAATTGAAACTAACTACTTTCATACAATTTTTTATTGAAATAAATTAACTATAACTTAATATTTATAATTACCTGTATAGTAAGACGTTCAATATTATTAGGGGTGAACTGTCTTAGACTAGCAGTCTAGCTCCACCAGCGTTTATGTTGAATAATATTATAATATTGTTCATTATGGTAGATACGTGTTATCAAAATCAAAATGTAATACGTGGTATCACAAAACCTTTAATTTGAGCGGGAAAAAACAATATAATGGACTCGTGGTACATAATAAAAGTGATAGAGAAAATTATAATCTATACAGTGATACCAAAATGTCATTTTCAAAAAAAATGTTATTTACGTGGTATTGCAGTGACAGTATCGTAATGTATTGTGATTATGACAATATGACTTGGTTTCTTCGACAGAATCTATTTATACGTTTTAGTTTGATAAATTTCTAATTCCGTCGGTCGGCGATGCAACGGCAATCGATCAAAAATAAGACAAACGCACGTTTTTCGATAACATTGTTCGTCGTGCCGATGACGGCTTTAAGCCACACGACACATCGTGCGTCGAGCGTCGGCTCAATGGTTCAAAAATGAAAATATAGTTAAGCCATTTTGAGCACTGATCAAAGCACCTAATTTATGCTAAGTATTAGTTTTGAATATATTATTATTTAATAATTTATATCAAAAATGTATGTCTCTTTACACCACTAATACATTTTGTGGATCTCTGCTGAATAATTTAGACCTGTTTACAGGTCATTATTGATAATAAAATATACATAAACTCAATAGAAAAATAAAATTTGAAGTAAGAACCCAGATTATATATTATAGTCACACAGATCGCGATTAATACAAGTATAGGTAATATAATTATAACAACAGTCGTCAGTTATGTACTTATGTCCACTGAACTAAATATATATTATGTATATACAATGTGTTCACTCAGTCGCCGGTTCGAACTCATAACAATGCTGCGTTGAAAACTGATACCGGATAACGTTTTATTTATTGAAACCCGTTGTTTTTGATGACAGTTAAATTATCCGTTTATAACGCATCCCGCGCGAATCCTAGTTCCTAGGCGCCAGGCCACATTATATATATTTTCAAATTGTTTTTTAAGTTATTTAATGATGGATTCAGATAAACTAATATAAAAAACAACCAATGGAATTATTATAGGTAATAATTGTTTTCATATAATATAAAGGACACAAAATATGCAAAAAGAAAGAAAATTCAATAACTTTGAAACATGAATATGCTGAGATATATTATGTACACATTTTTTGTGTTTTAAAATGAAAAAAGGTGGGCAAGTGGGTGTCGCTCTGCTGTACAGTAGGTTACAAGTGGGTCACTGTATAATGGATGATATTAAATTTGAATTCAACGATATAATATCATTGTATAAGAAAAACGATTCTGAGCGGAGACGGTATGTCAGTCTAGGTATACGACATATTATATACATTTCTATCTATGGTACTCAACCAAAATTTGACTTATAATAGGTACCTATAATAAATTCCAAATTAATCATATCACAATATCCATTAGGTACTTATAACGCGTTATACAACAACAAAAACCGTGATACTATCATAGATATATAATAGTACACTTTAGAAGTTTCAATTACATACGAATAATATTATACAACCACAACAAAATAACTAAAATAGTTATTCTAGGTTTTTTTTTATGTAATTTCGTCCAAATTTGAATTTAAATGTCTGTAAAAAATAACTGTGTTCATATATTTTTTAGATTTTTTGGTTACAGAATGAATTATTTATGACAACCTTTGTTTTAAATTTGCATTCCTTAGCTATAAAAACTGAACGTTTTATAATTTATTAATTACAATGATTGATAATTTTCGAGATTTTGATAAATGTTGTCAAAATTCGATCTTTAAATGCTTATAAAAAAAATTGTGCCTATATATTTTAAATATTTTTCAACTGATATTGTAACAATATATCAGGAGCCTTGTATTAAATTTTACACTTTTTGGCGCAACAGATAAAACTTAATTGATATTCATAGAAAAAAAACTAAAAAATTGAAAAATGAAAATGTCCGTTAACAGCTCAAAAAGAGTCAAAATATTTTCAAAATTGTATAGTGTATAGGAAATGCTAATTTAAACATTCAGTGAAATTTTCATGTATCTAAAGTTATTCGTTTTTGAATTACAACAAAATAAGGAAGTCGCTACATGAGATATCGAGTGAATATCCAATGTTGTAAAAATTTGAATTTCAAACCCTCATAAAAATTTAATTTGACTTTCTTATAGACATTTTTTTTTTGATAGAGGTAGATAATCTTATAAGGAATCTTGTATTACATTTTAAAATCTTAGATTTAAAAAGAAAAATTTTTACGAATTCTTAACTCAAAATAATTTGCTTATTTTCGTGATTTTTCCATATTTTGTCAATTTTGAACTTTAAATGCTTATAAAAAAAAACTGTGACTAACGATTTTTAATATTTTACATCTGCCTTTGAAACAATATACTAGGAACCTTCTATTAAATTTTCAAGTTTTTTTAACCAACAAATAAAATTTTATTGATATTTCTAGTAAAAAAACTAAAAAAAAATGAAAAATGAAAATGTCCCTAAACAGTTCAAAATAAATCAAAATATTTTGAAAATGTTATCGTGTATAGAAAATGCAAATATAAACAACCAGTGAAAATTTCATGTATCTACGGTCATTTGTTTTAAAGTTACACCAAAAACCAAATTCAATTTTATGAAAAATCGATTGTGAGTAAAAATTCCCGTTTTTCCTTAATTTTTCTTTTGTTTTTCTTGGCGCTTTTGAAAAGTACTGTGAATTTTAAATTTTGACCTCCCCAATGCACCAACGATATTCACTTTCCAATCGAACAAGATACTGAAGTTGAAAATCGAAGCATTATTTTGACTACTTATCGTGTACACAATCACAAAAAAAATTTAAAAAATTTAAATAAACACACATCATTGTAAAATCAATACATTCATCGTTTCACTCAGAATCTAAAAAATAAAAAAATAAATATAAAAACACACATCATTGTAAAATCAATACATTCATCGTTCCACTCAGAATCTAAAATAACAGTGGTTTTTACATATTTTCCGGAGTGAACACTAGTATTTGAATTTGATAACTAATGATTGTAGTAATAGGTTAAATGCAAATTGTATTTTATTATACTATATCTTATATATTCTTACAGGTTATACTATGTTTATTACATGTAATACACTTTACAATTGTAATTTTAATACTTAATATAATATATTAACAAAAGGTTACTACCCTAGCTCACACCATAGTAAAATATTAAAAAATCAATTGCTTCGGTTATAGACTTAATAATTGAAAAACATATTTTTGACTGCATATATGCATATTATATAATAAATCCATTATAATTATATTATTATAGTCTATTTTTCTTTTGACTTTATAGTACTATCCGTCTATTTATGATAAGTACTTTACTTAATTATAACTATAATAATAAGAAGTTAATTAATTTATTAAACATTAAATCAGCACTCATAAACACTATAGTGTTTAAATACCTACACCATCAACTAAAACATTTGTAATATTTTCCTTGGTACCTTACTACCAGGGGCGGACAGGCAGGGCGGGTAAGTGGTCATACCCACCCAGGCCCTCTAGAAATTATATGTTTAAGCCTCGAGCTATATTTGTTATTTTTAATAATTTTTCATTTCCACAAAATTAAACAACTGGAACAGTCAGACTGCAGCCGCGAAGGCTATGAAAGTTATTTTAGATTCATTTTTGGAATTTATTGTGTAACGAATATGTGTAATTTATTAATTTGTTAAAACAATAATAGTAATTAGTATTAAAAATAGTATTTAAATTAAAAACAATACATTTATTTTTGAAATTTTTTATTTTATTTGTATTGAAAAAGATTTAAGATTTTAATATTGAGGTAACTTGTTTTTTTATTATGTTAAATTTAGTTGAGTATATAACTACAGAATTTTTTTCATTTTGTTATAAGTTCCTTAAAAAGTTATTTTATTTAAAATAAACATTGTAACTTGAGTCTTTTGTTGGTAGTTTTAAAACCTATACCCAACTTGGCCTTCCGTGCCTCAGATCACCCCTGCTTACAACATTATTATTCTTTTTAGTATTTTATATGAATATTGAAAATGCATACACAGTTATAGCAAAGATTATATTTTTTTAATTAATTATACATAAAACTCAATTTGAAAAATAACAATATCTTCTTACATCTGCAGTACGGTTGAATATTGAACCGTGCCTTATCCATAAAACATCTTAATTGGCAAAGTGTGTTGTAGTGCACAAAAAAATAGCCACTGATTATAATACATTAGTGTATACTATAAATATCTATATAAATTGAATGCTCTTATAAATAGGTAAACTGTTCAATAAATAGGTAGGTACTTACCTCAAAGTAACTGGTAACCTTTCTTCTACACTGATAGGCATTCTGAGTACAGTCATTTCCTTTATAATACTTTCACGTATTCGTCCCAATAATTCGTCAAAAGTTTTTATACTCATACGAAAATATTCGAAAAACTTTTCAGGGTATTGCCGCCGTATGTTCGAATAAAAATATTGAAATTGTGTTTCATGTTGTAGATTTAATGGATGCACCCAATATCGTCTGTTTATTGGAGACTTATATCTTCATTTAAAAAACCTTGTGCTTCCAATAAGCAAATTATTTCAATTTTCTTTTGCTTATTCATGTTAATTTATGTTTAAATTAGGTTTAATTAGTTTTTTGAAACAATAAGTACGTTAATAAAAAAAAAAAACGATGAAGAACCTACTAGTGCACAGCACAAAATAT